CATAAAGATGTCTATAATATCTTCAACCATATCAGTGAAAATGGCTAACATACATCTCTGAAAGGTGGTCGGTGCATTGCATAGGCCAAACGACATCCTCCGAAAGGCAAAGATGCCATACGGATAAGTAAATGACGTTTTCTCTCTATCCTCAGGGGCTATTGAAATCTGATTGTACCCCCATCCAAAAAGCAGAAGTGAGATCTCCCTGCCAATCTATCCAACATTTGGTCAATGAATGGCAGGGGAAAATGGTCTTTCCGGGTGGCCGTGTTCAGTTTTCTATAATCCGTGCAAATTCGCCAACCCGTGACTGTACGAGTTGAGATCAACTCATTATTCTCATTTTGCACTACAGTCATTCCACCCTTCTTTGGCACACACTGAATTGGGCTGACCCAGTTACTATCAGAGATGGGGAAGATGATTCCCGCATCTAACCACTTGATCACTTCTTTCTTCACCACTTATTTCATGTTAGGGTTCAGCCTTCTTTGATGTTCTCTGGAAGATTTGTGCCCATCTTCCAGTAGAATCTTATGCATACAAAATGTCGGGTTGTTCCCTTTAATATCTGCAATGGTCTAGCCAATTGCAGTATTGCATTCCATTAACACCTGTAAAAGTTGTTCTGCCTGCACATCTAACAAATTGGATGAGATAATAACAGGTAAAGTGGATTTAGGTCCCAAGAAGGCTTACCTGAGGTGAGACGGTAATGGTTTTAGCTCCAACTGTGGTGGCTCCTCAATTTATGGCTTAGCTGGAGGTGTTTTTCTTTCGTCTAAGTGTAAGGGCTCGAATTCGAGCTCTCTTTTCCAGTACCCTTGCCCTTCAAGGACCAAAACCCACTCCGCCAAGTCCTCACCATACATTTCTTCTAAGTTCATGAGGCAGGGTGCTAGAGGGTCTTTTGCATTCAGAGTCTCATCTTACTCCTCCAAAATCACATCCACAGCCTCTATCAGTGAGCAGTTAGAAAACTCACTGGGTCGCCGCATAGATTTTTGCACATTGAACGTTATCTCTTCATCGTTCAGTCTTATCTGTAGCTACCTAGATTCACAATCAATTAGAGCTCTCCCAGTGGCCAAGAATGGCCTTCCCAAAATTATGGGAATTTTCTCATCAACCCGGTAGTCCAGAATGACAAAATCTGCCGGAAACACAAGCTTTCCAACCTACACCAGCACATCATCAAGTATACCTGAGGGCCTCTTCACTGTTCGGTCGGCTAGCTGTAGTAACATGGGTGTGTGTCTTGCTCTTCCAATGCCTAACCTTTTATAAATAGCCAAGGGCATCAGGTTTATGCTCGCCCCCAAATCACAAAGTGCCTTAGCAAAAGCATAGTTGCCTATTGTGCAAGGGATTGTGAAACTCCCTGGGTTAGACAGCTTCTCAGCTATAGGTCTCATCATAACCGCGCTACATGTCCGAGTCAGTGTAACTGTGGCCAAGTCTTGAAAGTAGAACTTATGAGACATCAAGTCCTTTATCATTTTAGCATAACCAGACATTTCCTTCAAGGCGTCAATCAATGGAATATTCACCTAGATTTGCTTCAACATCTCCATGAATTTCTTATACTGCTCATCTTTCTAATATTTGGCCAATCTCTGGGGGAAGGGTGTTGGAGGCCGCTTCTTTCCTGTGATTTGAGTTTGAACCTGCTCGGGCTCTGTTTCTACTGCCTTCTCTTTCACTAGCTCAATTTCCTTCGCAACCTCTTTTTCTTTGCTAGATTCAGCTGGTGCATGTTGTACCGTCACCTCTGCTAATCCTGTTGAATCATCTACCTCAATTGGTACTGGCACACGTGTTTCAGTTGGTCGGCTTTCGCGAGCAATTTCTTGCTCTAGATGAAGATCTCTACCATTTCTTAAACTCACCGCCATAAGCTGCTTCGGGCCCTGCTCTTTTGGATTGACATGCATGTCTGCTGGCAACGTCCCTTGAGGGCTATTATTCAGTGCCATGGACAACTGCCCTAATTGAATCTCAATGCCTTTTATCGCTGAGTCATGTGCTTCGACCTTCTCTTGCATTTTCCCATTGGACCCAATCAGTTGTTGCAGCATTCCTTTAATTTCGGAGAACCCATCATCTTGTTTCACTATCTGTTGTTGTTGAGGCTGTTGATAAGCTAGTTGCTGATTTTGCTGATTGTAGCTAGGGGTGTTCATAAAATCCCGAAAAATCGAACCAAACAGACTAAAAAAATCGATACTTTTTAGGTTTGGTTTGGTTTTAGTTTTAAATTTTAAAAACCGATCAAATTTGGTTTGGTTTTGGTTTTAATAAAAAAATAACCGAAAAAATCCGAACCAAACCGACTATAAAAGTAGCTATATAAATTTATTATTACACCTATATATATGTATATTTTTATATAAAGTTTTTGAAATTTTATTGTACATATTAGTCATTTGTATTTTTAGTCTAGTTCTTTTCCATTATAATAATCTAATTCTTTGCCTTCTAGTTTGATTGGTAGTTTTATTTTTTTAAGTACAAGAATTTATTTCATGTTAAAAATAATTAATTTTTAATTGAGTACTTAAATTATTCATCACTATTTGAGTCAATTATCATCAATATATCTTGTTAAATGTTAGATTTCTCAAAGAGCAATTAGTTTAATAGTGTTACGTTGAAAATGTAGTCACCGAAATATGCGTTTGGTAGTGTATGTCTCATATTTAAGAAAAAACCGATCAATAACCGAAAAAACCAAAAAACTGACAAAAATCGAATCGATAAAAAACTAACTTAATTGGTTTGGTTTGGTTCCAATATTTAAAAAACTGACTTACTTGGTTTGGTTTCTTTTTAGGAAAAAACCAACCCAAACCGAACCATGAACACCCCTAATTGTAGCCATGCTGCCTTTGGTAAGGCATAACTTGACCATGTGGTCTCATAGCTCCAGGATTGTTACCATTATTATACTGTTGTTGTGCTGGTCTATACTGTTGATTCTGTTGCCTCCAATTCTGACCACCTTGTCGTTATCCTCCATAGTTGGCCACATAGTTCATATTCTCCTGATATTTCTGGTTTACACCTTCCGTACTCCACAAGCATACATATGGTTGGTTGATGCATGGTGTACATAAACCCCCATTAGTCGTATAAACTATGTGTACCTATTGCTTCTGGCCTGATTCATCAATCTTTTTGGTGAGGATACTCATTTGCATCATCAGAGTGGCCATATTTACAGCTATGGAGTTGTTTGGATCCAAAGCTATTGAGTGAACAACAAGAGTGATCGTAGGGTCTCTTGTCATCCATCCTGAGTTTTGAGCCATTTTATCGAGTAAAATCTTGCATTCTCTGAATGATTTTCTCAAAAATGCTCCTCCTGCTTAAGCATCAACATTGGCCTTCAAGCTGTTTGCCAATCCCATGTAGAACCTTTGTCCCAACATCTGATCTGGAATGCCATGATGAGGACACTTAACTGGAATACCTTTGAACCTCTCTCACGTTTCCTATAGTGTCTCTGTTGGTCTCTGCCTGAAGCTCAATATCTCGTCAACTTGTTTGGCAGTCTTATACTCTTATTAGGTGGGTAGAACTTGTTCAAAAATTGCTTGACTAATTCCTCCCAAGTAGTGATGGAATTTATGGGGAGTGAATTGAGCCAAGTCTGAGCCTCTCCCGTCACCGAGAATGGAAACAACAACAGCCTTATTGCTTCCGGTATCACATTTGATTGCCTTTGCATGACACATATCGAGAGAAAAATTTTCAGATGCTGCTGAGGATCTTCAATGTAAGACCCTGAGAACAGTCCCTTGTTCTGCAACAAATGTATCATGTTGTTCGTGATTTGGATTGACTCCGCTTGTATCTGAAGGACTGCAATTGTAGTTGCCAGATTTTCGGCGGTGGTTTGTGCCTAATCATACAGGGATGCTTCTGGTACAAGTGGCACCACACCCTGATTGTTTGGTTCATTCGCATTGTTTCTGTTGTTGTTTGGATTTTCTATTCCGTCATCCATTTCTGATTCGATTTGTTCTATTGAATTCTGTTGTTGTTTGTCTTTCTTGTTCGCATGATTCAATGCCTTAAAAGCTTTCTCAGGATCTGATAATGCGTCGAACAATTCACCAGTTCTTGAGGAGTTTCTAGGCATGCACCTGTAACACCGAAGACTACAAATGTTAGAAATTCAATGTATTTAGTTTAAGATGAAAAAAATTGACTACACTAAGAATTCTAGCACTTCCTTTTGCTGCAATTAATAACACCGTTAAATTCTCCGATAACGACGCTAAAATTTGATCACACCCAACTATGCCTTATAAAAAGGACTAAGCGGTCGTTGCAAATATAATCCGGTTTACAAGTCCAGAGTCGAATCCCACAGGGAATTAACATACTAATCACAACTTTTAGTTCAGCAAGATGCCAAATAATCAACTTCCAACAAGATTGGATAATGACTTGAGTGTTTACTAACAATTAACAAGGTAATTAAAAAGTTGTAAATTTTATTACTAACAAAGAAACTGTTGTAGACAAGATTAGGAATATCTAGAGTTACGATTTTCCCTCTTATCGGAATCCTCCCTGCTACGTCTGCTACAAATTCGCCTAGATACTCTCTACCAATCGTGAACACTTTAGGTGTCGTAATTCTCTTCCAAGTAAATATAACAATTTACTAAACGTATTCTTCCGAATTATGCTAGCTAGTACTAGTTTACCGCTCACTACAATCGCATCAAGATTTCGTTATTCCTAAACCCACCTTTAAACCCTCTGTATTGATCCCCCATATATGTTAGGAGTGATGTTGTTTAAAAACTACCTAAATATGTACCCTCTATCCAAGTAATACACACTAAATAGGTATAGCCGATTGATGGCCCTTCAATCAACAACAATAATCACGTAGTTGAACACGTAGAGAAAATTCAACGGTAAATTTATATTAAACGCAGCAAAGATTCATCCTCCAAGAGGTTCCATCAAATCCTAGAATAAAGAGTTTAACTACTCATAATTATTTTAACAATCACAACATAAGAATTCATCATCAATGATAAAAAAAAGGGAGAAAGAAAGATAAAAACGTGTTTCTGAATCTTCCGTCTTGCTCCTTGCCTGTTCTTGCCTTCAAAGTTCTTCAAAAATACCAAGATACCCTCTTTTTGGGAGAGTTGGGCTTCATATAGGTCAAGGACAATCGCCTCTGAAATTACAATTTTAGCCCTGGAATAATTTTTCTTGGAGGGACGTGCGCGGCCGCGCACCTGGGCAGGTGACCGCGCATCTGGCCGTGCACTTTGGTCAGTTTCTGCTGACTTGCGCGGCCCAGTGCACGGTCGGTGCGCGGCCGCGCACCTAGGAGATTTTTTGCACTCTTCTTTGTTCTTCTTTTTTTAAATGCGCTAACCTCCTTCGATCCTCGAACAAACTCCCAATTTACTCCATAAGCCTTTACTTGGCCTTCAACGCTCCATATTATCTCAAAATACTCCTTAACCTCATTGTAGCCCGAAATTGCTCCTACAAAGTATAAAAATACTCAATCAGAGCAATTTAGTATCATTTAGCGCTCAAACATCAGTGAAGTGCAGCCAATTTAGAGTGAAAATAGTGGCCAAACTACATAGTTATAGCCTACTATCAGACTGCTAAATGACATTTACTTTCTCAAACAACCTAATTTCTTCTTCTCCTTTACTATTAGTACTAGGGGTGTACATGAACCGGGTTGATTCGGTTTTTATCAAAACTAAATCAAACCAAATATATCGGGTTTTAAATCTATAGATCAAACCAAACTAACAAAAGTCGGATTTTCCAATCTCGATTTTTCTCGGATTTTTTGGGTTTTTTGGGTTTTTTTCGATAAACTTATACTCCAAAATATTTCTTTAGTACCTTTCTTTTGAGCCTTTGCTCACTCCTGAAGAATGTTGCACAAGATCTTTAATGTTGTAGGCTTGCTTCTTTTTCTTCCAGTATTGAATGGACAATGATAAACTTTACCTGAAATCATTTCCTTGCCATAACCTTCCGTTTATTTTTTCTAACCATATACATAGATTATACATTCATTATACATAGTTATACACATATAATATATAAATTATGCATATACTCTCCACTGGCTATTTTTAGTTTAAAAGATTAGGTAGACAACTATTTGGGTTAATTCTTCTTTAATCTTTGATACCAATTATCATCGTATTCTTCTATCTCTGATGAAATCTTTCAAAAAAGCCTAAGCCCAACAATAGAATAGGATAATCCTTCAAAACATGCAAATTGAATGTGTAAAATTATGCTGCGTACAAACATATACGAACGATTACTTCCAGAAAATTCAAGAAAAGATAGAAGTACCAAGAGATTTACTCATTCCTTTGAACCATTTGTTAAATTCTTACATCTTAAAGTTATATATAAATGCTTCCATCATCTTTAAAAAAAGATAGAAGTGCACCAGATATTTAATCAATCCTTACAACTTAAACCATTGGTGATAATATGTGAATGTGATCATCCATTTTGTGTTACAATCACAGTACTAAAAAGGATTCAAGAGTCATAGAATTACCTGAAACATTTGTAAATAGTTACAACGAAGAGTCATAGACTGCCAAAAAGATAAATTGCAAATTATATTGCATTCTACATATGAATTATCACCAATATTTTAAGAGTAGACACTACGGCCAAGAGTCATAGAAAATAAACAAAAAGAGAATATATTAAACTCTAAGAAGTTGGACATTTTAATCCCGAGGAGCATATTCCAGAATGTTAGTAAAGGCATAATGACCCAAATTCCAATCTTTGGGAGATTCATTGCAGTTATATTCTTTTTCTTGGAATAAACTTTTGTAATACCTGAAATATTTATAAATAATCAAGTACTTTAGGCTCAACAGAAAGGTTATAGACAAAAGTAAAGAAACTAATAGAACCTCTTTTAATTGCCTTTAAGTAGTTAAGATTCCAAAAATAGTCCTAGAGAAAATTATAGTTAACTATCCCTCTAATCAATCCTAAAAGGTGAGTCTGGATATTCTAAAATAAAAAAAACAATTAACATATTTAATATTAAGTAATACACAAAAATAACTATATTAATTACTAATCGAAGATAAATTATTACCTTCTTCAACTTGATCAATTTTCTAGACTTCTTCCAACATGTCTTCAAACTAGTATTCCTTGGAAGATGATCGTATCTATTGTTGAGTACAAATAAGAGCTTCTACTGTTTTTGGTGATAAAGAACTCCGATAAGAATCAAGAACTCGATCACCTGTACTAAAAGCCGACTCAGATGCAACAATAAAAATAGGAATAGAAAGAACATCCCTTGCAATATTTGAAACTATTGGATATTTACTAGATGAAACTTTCCACCATGCCAAGATATTAAAATTTCTGGTCTTCACCACATCATCCATCAAGTATATATCAAGATCAAAGCAAAAGTCTGTAATAAACAATAAAAAAAAATAGAGGAACACAAACTACTTTATTTTCAATGCAATACAGAAGTTCTAGTTTTCTTTCTTTCCCACTTTCTTTCTTTCTAAGGTTGAAAAATAAATTAAAAGGTCACCGATAATACCTGAAATCAAGATGATAAACTTGTCTTAAATGGAGGCTGACAATGACGACTGGAACAAAGCTTGAACTTAACCTAAACAGAGATTGTCGATGACGACTTGAACAAACCTTGAATTTGAAGGCTGGTTGCTTTCATGAAATGAACTCACAACTAATGACATTAGGGATTTAGTCGTACAATTTATGACATTGAAAATTTAGAGTGTAATTTGCTTTGGGCTTGTGCTTATTTTGTTGTTCTACAGGAGTGGGCTACAATTTAACTCCAACCTATTATTAAATTGTTAATAAACAAAGATCTTGACAAATTTAAATAAATAAATAAATATATATATATATATATATA